CCCCCCCCCCCCCCCACCCCAAATACTCACAGGGTCCCTGGTACCCGACGGCGCAGTAATCGTCCGACTGCGAAATCGCGGAGCCCCCCTCGCAGGCCTCCTCGTACAGGCACTTCCTGATGGTGGTGGTGTCGTCGCTCGACCTCCAGTACCCGCTCGCCACGGGGAGGGTCAACTGCAGCACCCCGGGCTCGTCGCAGTCTAACCCTTCGCCGTCCAGCTCGAGGTCGGAGCACAGCAGGCACTCATCATCGCTGAAGTATTCGCCCTGGGGAGGTGGGTATCAGTAGACCGACCGAAGCCAAGAAAAGAAACGCACGCGCAACAATATTTGCCAAGTTATCCAAATGCTGACCATGAGCTATGGAAAGAGATGCATGTTTTGTGTTGAACTCCAGCATTAAAAAATAATAAAAAAAGGGCATCCAAACTGGGCAGAAAAAAAAAATAGGGTGCAACAACAACAACGACATATATGCATAGCAAAATGACAAAAATAACAGATAGTATTAAAACACTACAGTAGAAAGAACACAACGATCAGGGACGAACCCGGTGGCCTACTTGGGGTGCTACTTTTAGCAGCTCGAGAGGTGGTGGAGTGGTTCGGAGCACCGACACGCGGCTTGATGTTATGCATACCACCAACAGGAGGACGTGGGGGGGACGGCAACCGGCAAGGCCAGAAAAAAAACAAAAACACAGATTCACGTACATAGGACACACGGCAAACCAACCGAAGAACCTTGGTCGACACCATCACGACAACAAAACTTCTGGCGGTTGCAGAAGGTGGTGCTCAACACAAACAACACGCCCACACCGCAAAACCTCGATCGAGACACTACAGCAAGTAAGGACAACAAAAATAATTCACCTGCTGGCAGTAGTAAAAGGTGGTATTGACCATGGCAAGCGCGGTGTTCCCAGACTGGCGGCTCTCGGCCTTGAAGAGCGCTTGTGTCGGGCCGTTGAAGTCGGACGTGAGACTGCCGGTGATGGCGACAGTCGCGGAACCCCCTTCCTCAAGGATACCCACGTTAGGCACAATGCTCCACGTCAGGGCCTGTCGAGTGATCAGTGATCATCGCACGAAGTGGTGTTGCCGCTGTTGAGTGAACACACCATGGCATGGCACCATCATCTTTGTGCTACGAGGACTCCTCTCTCCAAGGGCGCGGCAAACGATCCAACTCATGGCATGTGTCAATGTCACAGCTTTGACAATATCACAGCTTGTGACCTTACCCTTCTTCTTCCCCCTCTCTCTTTCCTGGCTCTCTCTCTCTCTCTCTCTCTCCTCCTCTCTCTCTGTGCCCCACTTTCTCCCCATCCTCTCGCACCTCTGTCGGATGCACGTCAGCCACCTCCTCCACCTTCCACACCACTGGACCCCCCTCGATCCCCGCCGTAATATTGAGCGTCGACGAAATGGTGCCCTGGATGCCCACAGCCAACAGCTCATACGATGGAGCCTCCAGCTCCAAGGTTGTCGTCTCCCCTAGGCACTCCTACAGTACGAGGAAAAGATAACACAAAAACAAATTATCAACGACGAGATGCGTAATGCATGGGGCGGCAGCCGTAGATTCGTGCAGTCCGAGAGACACAAAGCAAACTCTTACAGCGAACGCGAAAATTTTCATCGATGACAAGATTCGGTGTGCACAGCCTTAGATATGTACAGTAGTACGAAAGACGCAAGTTTACAGCGAAAATGCAAGTGTTTCGCAGCCTTTTCACCCTGAAAAATGTTGACTCAACTGCTGCGACACTCGCTCCACCACCGAACCTTAACTTTCGACATATAACCTACCTCACCCGCTTGGGAATAAGTCTCAAGAGGCGTTTTGGTTTTGACGTGCCCGCCAACCTCACACGGCCTAGCGAACTGCTCTTGCTACTCTTACTTTCTTACTCTCTCCTCTGATACCATAGAACCCTTCTCTCTGTCTGCCTGCCTGCCTGCCCGTCTCTCTCTCTGTCTCCCTCTGTCTCCCCCCCCCCCCCCTGGTCCCGCGCTAACCCCTCCTGCTCCCTCCCGGCTTT